GTGACGAACCACTTCACGACCCCGTGCCATCCTTCGTACCCTTTCTTTTGCTTGTATCATACCAACCCCAGGAAAACCCCGTTTTGATTTCTTGATTTCGGGTGCCGCATTTTCCTTTTTGAGAGCTTTTTCGACTGCTGAGTTCTGTTTTTCTTTTTGCAAAGTCGGGAAGTACATGGGAATTTACGTGCGCCTTAGCGAGCGCCCAAGGAATTGGGCTCGGTAGTTAGGAATTTTGGGATAAGCAAAACTTCGACGTGTCCTTTTTAAGTGTGTGAATGTTCTTGGGCGTATCGGGGAAAACTCTCAGAATTTTGCATGAATACGAATAGACGTAGGATTTTCTTTTCCCGAGTCGCTTTTTCGCGCGCGGATATGGTGATTTTAATTTTGAATTAGGATAGAAGCAAGCTGTAACTGTTTCGGTGCCTTTTTCCTTTTTTTTGTTGATGGCGCCGTGCATGCAAAAACTCCCTCCTCTCTGTCCCCCGCATCGCTCCCTCTTGCGCCTCCCTTCCCTTCTCCCTCCTTTTTCTCTCTCCCCGTAACTGTTTTTCCTTCTCCCTCTCTCTCTCTCCCGCCTTGCTTTCGCGCGCCCATTTCCCTTTCTTGATCATCTGAATCTTGGACCCATTTTGCGCCACCTCTCACGCCTTTTCTCTTCTCACCCTCTCAGTCTGGCGTACGACGCCCGGTCGATCCCCCGATAACTCCCGCTCGCCAATCAGGTGCGTCGATCGATAGGACCTTCGTATCGCGCGACGAATCTGATTGGTTGAACCTTGAGTTCCGAGGGATCAGCATGGCGTTCGTAGAGCACTCTTGTCAAAGACTTCTCCTCTTGCTTCTCCTCTTACACCTCAGCTTTCCTGTCGCCTTCTCCCCCTCCTATCTCCCCCGTCGCAACTATAAAACCCGCAAGCGCGTCCGCAAAACTCTCTTACGTTCTCGACTCTCAAGCCAGCTTCCGGGAAGCAGTGGGCCAGTGGCTAGGCAGAGTGTTTGAAGCGAGTCGGAAAGTCCTGTCGGGCTAACGATAGACTGGCCGTTTGCGCGCTGGATCGCCACGACGGACTGTGGGATCTGGGTGAACTGTATCGAGTTTACAACACCGGGGTGACGATCGCAGTGGTGGGAGTTAGCACGCGACGACCGAGATCGTCGACGCGGTTATGAGGATCGATGTTGAGTTGATTGGCCCGGGGCCATATTGGAATTAACGGCGAATGCGCCATTGTTGCGGATTGTTATCTTTGGCGTGAGTGTACGGCGGTGACGCCGAACTTTTCTCTTCCTGGATCTTGTCATCTTCTATTTTGGACTTTTTTTCCCTCGACTCTCTCCCTCCCTCTCTCTCTTTCTCTCTCTCTTTTTTTTTTGAATGATGATGCGTCTGAATGATTGTCCCTCTCTTGAGTATGAATGAGTTGGCATCCTGCTTCTGTGTGAAAGACTTCTTCCGGAACTCTTCCATTAGYTYCCWGGGTAATCCTCTTACGCAAGGACCYCGTCTACTTGTCTTGTGAGCGATGGATGCGTGTGTATTGTGCAATGCGATCCATCTTTTTCTGTGCGTGTCTCATTTTTGCACCTTCCACAGTGAATGCATGTATAGAGATGCGYGACTTTTTCGATTTGATTAGACGAGTGTCGTCGGGATTTTGTTCGAGACTGCAAGAGTGTTTAGATCTGTAGCTCTGCTTGCACTGCGCATGCCATCTGCCTTATGATGCACGACATCAGCAGCYGAGCCACGAGGCGGCCCTGAGAAACAAGGCGCCCAGGGACCAACGTTGTGTTGAACTGATCGGACCCGTAGCCATACTGATATGTGATTGCTTTCTCTCTCTTGTGTCAAAAAGATTGATTGGGGGACGCGCGAAACGCTTCTGTTCTTAATTGCGTCTCAGGATATTTTGTGATTGATTGAAATGTGGACTGACAAGTACCCTTCGATTGGGCGCCAGCCTCCCGTATCTCCCATCCCAACACAACCTTTTCCTTACAGTGAGGAAAGGACATGTGTATGTGAGTGGGACGGACTCCCCTCCTTCACGACGACGCGGAGGAGGAGGGTTGCCTCCCCCCTGTCGATCTCACATTTGGCCTCTGGAGCGGGAGCCCGTCTTCTGTCACGCGCACTGTGCTCGTGAACCCTCATCCCGACGAGGACGCGAGGCAGGTCACATTCGGCGGCAGGGGCACAAGGGGCATAGCGGCGGCAGAGGTGACGTCGGGGAAGACGACGGCATGGCCTCGAACGCAGGCGACTTCTGGCCCGTCTGTTCCACGCACTGTCGGGCAACGTCCTGAGTGGATGACCCTCAGTCCTCCTTTGTCCGGGGGGTGCGACAGCGTTCGTCGTCCCGTTGATCGGGCTGTGACTCACAAAGATTTCCCTTCCGAGGGCGCGCATGGAGATGGCAGGCGGGTGTGGAAGGATGCGAGGCAGGAGTTGCGGCGGCAGCAAGAAGAGTCCATAACGAAAGGTGTGGAGCGTTTACGCGTGGGTGAGCGGAGTGGGCAAGCAGACAGGGCCGCCGGGGGGGGTGACGCGTGGGCAAACGCTGACGAAGTTCAGTGCGACGTAGACAACGACGACAGCGTGCGCCGAACATGGGCGGGAGGGGCGGCAGGGGAAGCACTTCGACTAGAGCGGTGCGCAGGCGGACGAGATCGACGATGACCTCTGCAGACGCGGAAGGCGAGGGTGATGGGGAAGGAGGGCGGAATTTGTGGTCCGTGGAACACATGGTGGCCCTAATCAGGGCGAAGCGGGATCAGGACACCCAGCTGCAAGCGTCGGGACACAACTTCGCTCGGATGCGGACAAGGGAGTGGAAATCGATGGACGTCCAGGAGAGGTTGCTGAAGGTCGGTGTCGACAAGCCGGCAGACAAATGCGGGAAAAAATGGGACAATCTCATGCAGCACTTCAAGAAGGTCCACGCTTTCATGGGCATGTCGGGGAAGGAGGACTTCTTCCAGCTGACGAGTCAGCAGAGGGCAAAGAAAGGATTCAACTTCAACATGGATCGAGCCGTCTTCGAGGAGATCAAAGGGGCGAGGGAGAGGAGCCACACTATCAGTCCAACCAATGTTGCAGACACTGGCGGGGCAGGGGGTGTGCAACTCCCATCTGCACAGTCGGCGACTCCGGAATCTGTGGGGGATGGTGAAGCCGCCGGTGATGGAAACGACGAAGACGACAGCTCAGCACGAGGTGGCTCACAGACGAGTGGTGGCCCGGCCAGGTTCGGGAAGAGGAAGAATGTGTGGCAGCAGACATTCGAGGCGTTGTCAGAGTGCATGGACAAGCATGGGGCGTTGATGGCGTCGACGATGGAGAGCGCCAGCAGGAGACAGTGCGAAACGATGGAGAGCGCGAGCAAGAGGCAATGCTTTATCCAGATTCGGCAGTGCGAAGCTATCAAAGCGGAGGTGGAGATCCAGAAACAACACTGTTCTGCCTCCACTGAAGTTAGCAAGCTTATGTGTCAGGCGCTGCTGGAAATAGCGACGGCTATACGAGAACGGTAGACACGTGCGACCGCCGGAGATCATTGGTCGGCTGTAGCCGTCACATCATTGTGAATCCGCTGTCGTCAACCGCAGTCGCATGGATGTGGACATTGCTCGTGCCTCGTTTTTTTTCCATGGATGAGAGAGAGAGAGAGAGAGAGAGAGAGAGAGAGAGAGAGAGAGAGAGAGAGAGAGAGAGANTAGACACGTGCGACCGCCGGAGATCATTGGTCGGCTGTAGCCGTCACATCATTGTGAATCCGCTATCGTCGACCGCAGTCGCATGGATGTGGACGTTGCTCGTGCCTCGTTTTTTTTCCATGGATATGAGAGAGAGAGAGAGAGAGAGAGAGAGAGAGAGAGAGAGAGAGAGAGAGAGAGAGAGAGAGAGAGAGAGAGATTCAATGTGGAGAGAGAGAGAGAGAGAGACAGAGAGAGATTTTTTTTGTATAGGTCCTTTGGATCAATTTGTGGTAGTGTGTTTAGGATAACTTTTTTTTTTTTTTTTTTTTTTTTTTTTCCTTCTTTGTTAAATTTTTCTTTTTTATGTTGCTTCATGTTTGCATTCTTACGACGAACATCTGTGTACTGAAACGACCTCCTTTCTTTGACCAACACTATACGCGGCATGGCATTCAAAGGCCGCCTTCCAATGTAGACGTCTTTGTGCATGCCTGTCTGTGAGGCTCCAATGGGCTGGGTGGTAGGGGGTGGCCAAGTTTTTTTTTTATATTTCGACGTTCCGCCTTCATGTGATGGCGAGGGGGTTCGTCGCTGCGGGGGTGTGTTTCAGGGGATACTGCTCAATGATAGCACGTGTGAGAGATAACGGGATGCGAACGCGTTGATCCCGCGAAGGCATCCCCTTCGGCCTGCCCCCACCCGCGACCGCATCACCGACCAGTAGACGGCCCCTCTTCCGTACCGCCAAACGGTGCCTTCGACACGTGCGCCTTCGCGTTATAAACTTCGCGGGCGCCCATCCACGATCAGAGAACACAGCAGTCCAGTCCATGCAGTCCTGGCGGTGTTGTCGCACGGCGCATTGCAGGGCAGTCGACAACGCACTGGGCCAGGCGACACGCCTGCTTCCTTTCAGTCGGACGCCGTGTCGGTCATTGTCGCCAACTGCGCCTGGACACCTCGTCGACACACCTCCTTCTCTCCGGACGTTGTCTTCGTTGCCGAATTCGCTTGGACATGGTGTCGCCGTTCAAACTTGCGCAGCGCGCGTCGTCGTGGCTGTTCGACAAGGCGGCGTTGCGGCGAGCGCGTGGCAGCCGGGTCGTCCGTGTCGCCATGAGATACGCGTCGTCCGCGCGTCTGACGTCTGTTCAATCACACGCAGATAGCGGCAGGTTGTGCGGCCCTCATTAGTCTCCTCCACCAGCCGTCCGCCATCGATGTCGTTCGTCTTCACAGCGATGACGAATACGCGCAATGCAGCGAAGGGGAAAAGGGGGAGGGAGTCTAATCAGGGCGAAACTGCTACCGCCGTAAAGCGGGGGAGGCATCAGGTGAAGAAGGCGAAGGCATCAGGCGGCGGCGCCCTGGTAATTGGCAGGGCCGCGCGGGAAGAGTGGATCACGGAGGGCAGCAACGACGAGAACGACGATTTCGAATCGGAGGCGGACACGTTTCATGGCGTCAAAGGGAGCTCGCGCGAACAAACCGCCACGCGAATGATCAGCGGAGATGAAGGGGGGAAAGGCGGCATTGAAGGGGGAGGCTTGAACGTCACGCGTGGTGACAACGACGCAGGGGGCGACGTGGCAGCCTCTGGTGGTGGAAGAGACGATCAGGGCCGCCAATTGACGCCTACGACGCGCAACCCCGTGCAAGCAAGGGACGTCCCCGCGGCGCATGACATTGGCAGATAACAACCGCTGCGGGTGTCGTCGACCTAGGCGACGCCAGCAGCGGGACAGGCGAGAAGGGAGGAGGGGGCGGCGGTAACTGCAGCAAGCAGGCCCCAGCCCCCCGCGTGCAGAGGGGCGAAGGATGTCGCGGCGGAGGGTGCCATTGCGGGCACGTCGACGGGGGGAGCGGGAGGAGGCGGGGGCGACGGTCGTGATGGTGATGATGACGACGATCCGCTCATCAACAGGCAGAGGCGAACGGGAGGCGTGGCGGCTCTGGAGACGAACGCATGGCTGTGGGTCGACGATCATCGTTTCTGGAACGAGACGGAGGGGCATGGGCTGGTGAAGATGATACAGGAAACTCGCTTGCACCTCCTGGCCATCGCGAAGGGTGTGAAGCCGCCGGAGATCAGAAAAAGCATCGTGCTGCCTAACTCCATGATCCCTCTGCAGAAGATGGAAGACGAGTCCGAGCTGCAGGCCGCCAAGGAGAGGGTTGGGAGGGTGCAGACGATAGCGTTGCGCATCATCCACGGGTGGCTCTTCAAGTCCCCCAATCGCGCATGCGGTTATCACTGCGCGTACGGGTATGTGCTCAACCACGTGCCCACAGACCTGGGCCGCGCCATGTGGTTGGGAGAGGACTCGCGTGTTTGCGTCAGTCCTGCTGTCGTCCACAACACTTTGGAGGCTCGTATGAAGCTCCCCATATGGTACGTTGGTGGCATCATACACGACAGGCACGAGGACGACGAGATGGCGTCGTATCAGGAGTCAACAATGCAGCGTCTTGTTGGAGCTTTCACTAATGTTGTTGACGTGGGGGAGGGGGTGGACGGCGGGCGGATTTCGTATGAGAGGTTGAGGAACGTCGCGGACTGCATGCGCCTTTTGCTGTCTGCCGCCATGTGGATCATGCGGATGGCGGGTGATAGTCTGCGCTCTCACTACGAGGCCTCCCATCTGATGGAGGTAGTCGCGAAACCGACACTCATTGCGTCGCTTCATCGCTCGTTCCACGCGCGGTGCCATGTTCTGCAGTGCGTGAACGCCGTGACGAAGAAAATGGGAAAGCCCCCAATGACGTTGGTGGACTCTCCTTTGTACATCCCCGACTGGGTTTCGTGTGGGGTGACTTTCAACAACGACGCGACGTTGGCGTCTCCCGATCTCGCCAGGAGACTGGATTGGATGGGCACCGGACCACCCGAGATTGACGACGAAGGGGAGGAGAAGGCAGACGAGGGGGAGGCGTGAACGCTGGTCGCGGACTGCATGCGGCGACGGCGGTGATGCGGATGATGGTGATGATGATGGCGACGTCCCCATATGGTACGTTGGTGGCATCATACACGACAGGCACGAGGACGACGAGATGGCGTCGTATCAGGAGTCCACAACGCAGCGTCTCGTCGGAGCTTTCACTAATGCTGTTGACGTGGGGGAGGGGGTGGACGGCGGGCGGATTTCGTATGAGAGGTTGAGGAACATCGCGGACTGCATGCACCTTTTGTTGTCTGCGGCCATGTGGATCATGCGGATGGCGGGTGATAATCTGTGCTCTCACTACGAGGCCTCCCATCTGATGGAGGTAGTCGCGAAACCGACACTCATTGCGTCGCTTCATCGCTCGTTCGACGCGCGGCGCCATGTTCTGCAGTGCGTGAACGCCGTGACGGAGAAAATGGGAAAGCCCCCAATGACGTTGGTGGACTCTCCTTTGTACATCCCCGACTGGGTCTCGTGCGGGGTGACTTTCAACAACGACGCGACGTTGGCGTCTCCCGATCTCGCCAGGAGACTGGATTGGATGGGAACCGGACCACCCGAGATTAACGACGAAGAGGAGGAGAAGGCAGACGAGGGGGAGGCGTGAACGCTGGTCGCAGACTGCATGCGGCGACGACGGTGATGCGGATGATGGTGATGATGATGGTGACGATGATGATGATGGTGACGATGATGACGAACGCGGCGACGTTCAGACCAACAATGCTGATGATGAAGACGGCGCCAACGATGATGATGATGGTGCTGACGACGACGACGACGATGACGACGATAACGAAGATGGTGATGATGATGAAGACGACGACGACGATGATGATGATGATGATGATGATGATGATGATGATGATGATGATGATGATGATGATGATGATGATGATGATGATGATGACAAAGACGACGACGACGATGATGACGACGGCGATGATGATGATGATGAGGATGATGACGAGGATGATGATGATGATGATAATGATGATAACAATGATGATGATGATGATGATGATGATGATGATGATGATGATGATGATGATGATGATGGCGACATTGATGATGATGTCGATGATGATGATGCCGATGATGATGATGATGGTGAAGATGATGATGATGAAGATGATGATGCTGATGATGATGATGATGATGACGCAGACGGTCGTGTTTGGTGGTCGTCTACTGTGAGGACCGGTGCTCATACACGTCGTCGCCAGATCTCGCGGGCGTTCCGCAACCCAGTGCAGTGTAACTTTTTTTAGTGGACCACCGTTTTTGGCACGCCGCTGGTGCGGCGTTGAAAATCTTTTTGATGTTTATGTACAGTGTCGTGTGCTTTATAATTTGGAAACGTGCTGTTCTACTTTCCTTCTCTTCAGCCCGGTTCGACACTTCCTTTCTTTTGTGTTGGCATGCTTCCCAAACGCAAACCGATCGATCCTTCCCTTCCTTTGTATATTGTTTATTTTATTTCTATTTGTTTTTTGTTTATTTTATTTGGAGGTTTTTTTTTTTTTTTATGCTTCAGTTGTTTTCGGAATTGTTTGTGAACATAAATCTGCGACGACCATTGATCATTGTCGTTTGCATATCGTTGTATTTTATCACAACACACACTCATACACCAAACATTGGCAACCCTAGGACGAAGAGGCAGACGAATGAAGGCAGACACAAAACTCTATTTGTCTATATGAACACATGTAAACACCATTTGATTGCGCTCGCAGACTTATTTTTTTCACACGTCAGCATTCCATCCATGCAGCAGGGAGTGCGTAGGAGAGGAAGGAAAACAGTCGCCAACAACCAATAACACTTTCCGATCACAACCCAACAATCACCAAACTCTTGCGAATTATAAAAACACACTGCCGACATGATTGCTCTCCGTAGGACGTCCCGAACAAGCCCCAAGAGATGCACACGACTGCCGCTCGAGATAGACAACAACTCCATCTCAATGCCGTCTACTAATCACACTAACCGGCCACCGCCGCCGCTTCCGCCGCCCAACGACTCGCCCACACTAATAGGGAACGCCGCACTATCAACGCACCAGCCCGAAGCCGCGGATCGAAAAACGAAAAGGAAAAACTTCCAACAAACTCTAAAACGGACGATATATGGCGCGGGGACTACGAGGCATGACTGTCGCTCTCCGCTCTGCGTCCCTCACTGCTGACCGAAAATTGGACGGCATGGCACATGTACTGCGCCCGTCGTCTCTCCACACACTGCTTCCTCCCACTGCCGCCGTCAAACGTTCCTCCATCATACACGGCCCGCAGCTCCCGCCGCCTCACGAGGTCCCTCTGCCGTCATCGCCGCATCATTCGCTCCGCCAGCGCCTGCTGCAGCATGATCGCCTTCCCCGTAGAAGTTCCCATGCACAACGACCTGGGGGGGCGATGGATCCCGAGATCCACCTGACCGCGAACTCCATTGGCGTCAACCTCCCACAACAAGTTCTCGTCGAAAGGGATGCCGGCGTCGATCAAGATGTTGTGCAAGATGCAGACGGCCACGAACTGCTGGGGCAAGGTCTCCATGTTGGTCTTGTGTGAGCCTAGGAACAAGCGCCACATTCCTTTCAGTCTCCCGAACGCCCTCTCCACTTCCCCCCTCGCGGTCTTCTGCTTGCTGTCGAAACAACTCTCCAGGGGATGCTGCACCACGCCGCCAAACGGGACAACCATCCATTCGCTCGGCGGGTAACCATTGCCGGCCAGCAAATAACCATTCGTCTGCACTTGGAACGGTAGCAGCACAGGAGGCCCTGTAAACAACTCTCCCGCCGCCGCCCGCGACCATAGAGTGGAGAGATGGATGATCCGGACGTTGTGGCAGCTCCCCAGATATCCCACAAACATGTCCAGGATGCGCAAGTCCAAGTCGACCACCACTTGAGCAACGACAGAGAAGCGTCTCTTGCGGTCGTAGTAGTCTTCTGCAGGTGCATTCGCCGGCTTGTCCACGTAGATATGGGTGCATTCGATGCACCCATGGCAGTTCGGAAAACCCTTGTCTGCAAAAGCACGCAGAACGATCGCCTTCCGCACCCCAGGCGGCCACGCCACCTTCTCCCTGTACACCGCAAGTAGCGCAGCAGTAACGTCCCGGACGGCCACCAAACCTAAAGCCCTGCCAATCCCAAAGCTGCAGCTGCTGCTCTCGTATATCTCGCCCGACGCCCACCTGTACAGCGAGTAGGCGACGATCTGGTCTGGTGCAACGGTTCCCTATAGAACGTCACACGTCGCTGGAGAATCGGCGACAAGTTCTCAACGATCTCGCGGAAGACACGCGGAGACATCCGTAACTTGTCGCGGAAGTAATCGTCAGTGGCGTCGTCCGCAGGCCGAAGATCCTCCCAAGTCCCCCCCGTCCTCCTTTTTACCCACCACCTCGGCGTCGCCCTCGGTAGTCCCCCACATCCCAGTGCACAGCACACCTCCAACACGGCATCACAGATGGCAGCGCTATCCAACGTTTCAGTTGTCGCCACCGGCATCAACTTCCTTCTCCGGGCACGTAGTCGTGCCCAGCGCCGTTGACCTTCGACCTCCATGTCGCAATGCATGATGACGGCGGCTACGGCAGACGTCACGGTAGCCCTCTCCACAGCGGACCACCCGGCCCCGACGTCATCCCCATCACCCACTCCACGCACATGGACCACCTCAGACATCGCAGTCATCCTCGTGGAGTGAACTCGCCCAACACTCGACCGGACGCCCCCAGCAATGGACACTGCCCACAAGCAAGTTGGCGGAAATGGCGGCCGTGCAGCGGTGCGTGAAGACAAACGAGCACGGCGGAACGAGACGCTGAACACAGTCGACGGAGGGCCACGGAGAGCCATCTCTTCAAATACGTGTGGAACATTGCGCTGACGCCACAACGACTAGTGGTTCCCTCGCGTGACGCCCACTGCAAACCCCCTCAGAGTCCCCCATGGGGTCGCCCCAAGCTACAGGCATGTCCCCGCGGAACCACACCGCACGGCATGGTCGGCCGATTCGAAATTTGAATTTTGAAAGTGCACGCGCGCGCGCGGATTTTTTTCCTCATTGCGGCGGCGGCAGTCCCTTTTTGAATTCGAAGGCTGAATGCGGCGGACCAAGGCCGCTCGCACGGACACCGGACGATAAACCACTGCCCAAACTTTCGTCCCGCGGCCGAGTATAAAATTATACGTCTCCCCGAGGCCAGTCCTGAGAGCATCCTCGGGCATCGTCCTGAGGGAGCAGTGGAACGAAAGCGGGAAATTCCCCGGGCTGCCCCGAGGATTTCCCCTCGGAGCCCGAGGATGCGCCGAGGAGTGTCTAACGAGCCCCTTAGTGGAGCGGTGCCGAGCTCAAGAAATGGCTGGTTTCTAGAGTAGTGGAGTGAGACCCAATGGCTAATAGCCAGTCCATAGTGACTTCGTCAGATAAAGACAAAGGACGAGCTGGATGGAACACTCGAGCGCGAGGTTTGAGCTGGGTTTCTGGGTATCTGTGGCACTTTTTTGACTCCGGTTCAGGCGGGAATTCGACGTTTTACCGCGGGGCGGAGTCCCTCTTTTTTTTTTTTTTTTTTTTTTTGGGACAAGGCTCGTATCTATTCCCGCATACGCCCTTTGGTTGAAGTTTTTTTACCCTTTCGTGACGGTAGAAGGAAATGCAAGTGGAGGGGTCCGTAGGCGTCCGCTTCGATGAGCGAGGCAAATTTTGCTTTGCCACGGTGGGGGCATACTCAGCGCATACTCATCACACAGGGAGCTATAGTAGTATATTCCCAAAATGATCCCCAAAAAAAGGGGAAAAGGCCGGTCAGACAGATGTACCAAATTCGCAAATGAACTACTTTGGGGTCACCTCTGGAGGTGACCGCAAATGCCCTTTTTGTTTTTTGGGCATTTTCTTCAAAAATTGGCAAAATTTCGTTCACAAAAGTTATGCCCTTCCCAAATCCACATATTTTCCGGATTTGGGGTCGCCTGTCATACGCAACCTCACGCCCCCTCGCAGCTTCCCGTACGGGGTTGCCGATCAGAGTTCTAAGAGGGGCGTGGCCGAGGATTTTTGGTCGTAAGGGTTGAGTCTCCCGGACGGAACATGGGGCTCTCGTTTCTTGGCCGAGGTTTTTCTTGGAGTCGAATTGTCGTCGCGAAGTCCCTCGGGGGTCGGATTACTCCGAAACAATAAAATCAGAAGGGTTTCAGTGAGAAATGAATTGCCGTCATGCATCGGGACGGGAAAAGGCATCGAGGGGAGGAGGCCATGGCGGCAGACGACAAAAGCTCCGGCCGTCATGGGTTCCGGGGATAGATGGTGGGTTAGAAGCCTTCAGGCCTCGTCATCGGCCTCACGAAGTGGCTGAACCCTCGGGTCTTTTGCTGTAGAGGTGGTTGGTTCGAGGTCTTCAAGCCTCGGCGTCGAACTCATAGAGCCCGCACGAAAGTTTCCGGGAGGGTAGAGCGGCGGGAGGACTCGCCGGCATCTCAATTCGAAATTGCGTGGGCAGCGCCCCCGCACTACGGGAAAGCTCGGGGAAACGTGTCGCTACCTCGTAACCCAGGACCAGCCGTCGCCACGAACACGAGTCCCCCTGGCGACACCAGCGACAATCAAACTGCGGTCGCCACGCGGCGTGAGCGGCCGACCAGGGCAACACCGTTAAACCCGTATAAGGCAATATAAGAGTCGGGGAATCAAAGCGATCAATCAACACAAACTCGTTCCCCCTTATCTCACAAGCCCGAGGCGGGTCTTGCCAACACACTTGCTCCGTCCGCCTCAGCGCGCGCCGTACGTCCGCATTGCAGTTGACGCTGTCGTCATCTGTGATGGGGAAGGTCGGTAGCGAAATGAGACGATCGGAGGTACGTGGTGAACACGGGCAAGATCCCGCGTTCCCGGTCATCCGAACCAACACCGAATCCATACAACAAACGTCGCAACTCTTCTGTCTCAAAAGTGGGTGTGTAGGGGGAGGATGGCGAAATCTAAGCTTTCTCCCCTTGGCGGGGGCGTCGACCGTCCGCGCGGACGCAGGCGGTTGACGTCACCGGTACGGGGACGAGAAGCTCTAAAAGGCGATGACTGTTAGTTCAAGAGGAAGGCGATCTAAAAGGGAGAGAGAGAGTTACGCCAGGCCCGCACGGGAGCGCAGGAAAGGCCGCGGAGGGGAGGGGAACAACCGGATCAACACACTCATACTCCTAAGCAGACGGTCCCCCAGTTTAGTTTCCCCATCCCCGCCCGGACGAGTACATACACACATACATGCATGCAATCAACCACCCTTGACAAGACATCTAATCATCCATGGACCTTCGACGTCACTCATGCGCATAACCAGCTCCCATTACTCGGGGCTTCACACACACGACATGCATAGACAAACCAGCAATGGAGATAAAAGTGAGTCCTTCTTGTACACAAAAAAATCAATTAACTGCTGCCCCCAGGCGCAGCCTTCAAAACTTCCCAAGACCACCGACCMCCATAGCCACAAGGCCCTGCCGCGGCCAGCGTCCAATCCCCACCACTGCTCAGTCCCTCAGACTGCTTCGCCCCGAGACTACCGCGGGGTCCACCCCACGTCGTCACTCCGCCCGTCCTTGGGCTTGTCGAGCCTGTTCGGCGCCGCGGACTCTCGCACATAGCTCGCGCAGCATTGCAGCCGAGATCAAAGAGAGGGAGAGGAGAGGGTTGCACAGATTTATAGCGCGGGAGGCGGCGGGTTAACAGCGCGAGGTGCGGGCAGCGCAGGGTATAGATGAGCACGACAGGAGAGAGGGGTGAGGAGTTAGAGGGTTCGATCCGCGGGATTGCATGGCTACGTGATTGGGGTGTTCGTCCAAGTGGTGCGCGATTTCCCGCTTTCCACATTGATCCGAGCATCCCAACTACGCGGCCAATCACTTCGTGGAGGAAGACGGGGTAAGGATCAAGCTGGGTGTAGGGGAAGACGAAGGGTCCTTCATGGGGAAAATGCGCGCAGTAAGAAGGGAAGATGGCGCGAGGATGCAAAGCAAGAAACGGGGATGCGAGACGCGCGAAGAAACCGGAGCTTGGGCGCGCGCRCAAAAATTCAAAAAGTCCCAACCGCACCCGTTTCTTGGTTTTCATACCGCGGCCGCTATTCGCCCGCGGGAGTTATTAACCAAACAAAATGAAAAAGCCGTTTCAAAAAGAAAACAAAAGCAAAAAGAAAGAAAAACCCCTTTCTATCCGCGTCCGTACTTCGGGGCTTCCACGGGATTTTTCCTCAGGGATATGGCAAGCCGCGCGGTACGGATCTGAGCTTATCACATCTGTGATACGCAGGGGGTTCCGAAAAATTAGCAGTCTCCCGACTTCTGATGCCATCATATCATGGATGATCGGGCGGCCTCTTCATCGTCAGCTGGCCCGATCATCTTCCTAATCTACGTGGATGCATCCTGCATCCTCCATCGCCTCCTCCCATAGTATACATTCGATCGGGCGGCCCCTTCATCATCAGCTGGCCCGATCGGTAAGTAAATATATATATATATATATATATATATATATATATATATATGTATATATATATTTATTTTTTTGGAGATATACAGCGCGTATCATCGCGCGAGCGTCTAGATCCGGAAAAGAAGAAGAAAAAGGGGAGAATGAGAAGGAGAGGACAGGGGAAAGGTAGACGAGGGTGATCAGAGGAAGTGATCTATGTCGTGATTGAGAGGGGGCGGAATAGGTGGAAGAAAAGCGGCCATGGCCGCAGGAGTCGTCGGCGCATCTTCCTCATGGAAGTGATGTTGGACGAATGAGGGGTAAAGGAAAGCCCCCGGCACATGTGAGAGGACACGTGGCGCCAGATCCGCTACCGCTCGGCGCTCGCACCACCCGCTTGCGCACCGTCCGGGACCCCGGACCCGTCATCACCACATGAGTTTCGGTGTAAGGCCGCCGCTCCCGCTTCTGCGCCGCGAAGACCAGGAAGTGGTACATTGCATTTGGACGCTGCACGATCTCGTAGATGAGCGTCCCCGATTATCGCGCCGCAATACACCCTTGGAAAGGGGGTGTCAGATATGGCTCCCACGCCGGATCAGGGCGCGGCGCCCCCGCGATGGCCTCTAGCCTGATGGTGGCGGGCTCCACCATGAAGTCCTTCTCAGTCGGATGGACTGTCTGGCTCGAATGAACTACTAATGTCAATGACCGGGGCACCCCGTGGTGGCTGGCGGGAACGGAGAGGTCCCGCGAGGACGGGGGGTCTGGATATGGGATCCGGAAATCCCATTCGGCTTCCTCCTCCGGCTGCTGCTGCTGATGATGGCCCGACTCCATCAAGATTGAGATCGGGCACATGCGGAATTGGCGGCGATGGCACGATAGTCTCTTTAACGAGCATCGCCGCGCTCCCAGGCACAGGGTCATAAATCCGCGTACGCGTGGGCTGAACCACCTCCCCGCCGCCGCCGATCCTGCTGCCTTGCGCTCCTGGCGACGGGTGGCGTTTCTTCCTCTTCGGTATCTTCTTGGGGGCTTTCGGTGGCGCTGGTCGAGGATACGACGAGGGAGGACGCAATGGCCTTTCCTCCGGGAAGTCCTCCAATCTCTGCGCGCGCTGCGCAATGTAATCCGGGATGACGACCGCGTTGTATGTTTTCTGCGGGGCCGTCGCCGTCCGCAATCGTGGTTGGATCTCCTCCTCCTTGCTCGCGATCACTTGCGCAATGGAGAGGAGCTCAAGATGTATGAGCTCTAACAATCCCGAATCAAATGTCTGGAGTGGGGCGAAGGGGTACAGCGCCACCGTCCCTTCCTTCCCCGCAGGCTTGGGCCGCGTGATGATGTAGTAAACGACAAAGTGCTCCTCGATAGCGTGGTCTTCGTGATCCATGAAGAACCGGAACATCCCCAGCGCCACCGACTTATACAACGCACGGTGCAACTCCCACGTGTCTTCGTCGGCGAAGGGCAGCGGCTCCACGTCAGTTAGCTCCACCAAATACTCCGAGAACTCGCACATGGGGTAAGGGCCCTCCGTGAGCTGGTAGGGGAGGGTGGTGTAGGAGAAGAAAGGAGGCATTTAGTATGGGACAGGGGGAATAGCTTGGAGGTTGAGAGGAGCAGAGGGAGGGAGAAGCGCGGGGAGCTGCAGCACCAACGCAATCGGTCCGTCCTCTGCCCTACGCAGCGGCACTTCATGGGCTGTGAATCGGTGTCCCCCCCGTCCTTGCACTCTGGCCACTGATCTGGCCGTTTCCAACGCGTATTCGCGCACAAAGCTGCGCGCCGCTTCCTGATTCTGCTGCGGTAGGACCGTCAAGTCTCCGATGAAGGTGGTGACGCTGTGCACGAAGTTAAGTGTCACCTGGAGTGCACGGAACTCAATGAACACTCGGGTCGTCTCCCGGCCAGGCAACTGCGTCACGTCCACGTACACTCCCGCATATGTCAGCCGATCGCAAAGCAACGAGTACGCTGCCAAATCCGCAACCCCGGGCGTTGGCACGTTCACCTGTTGGATGTCGTACCGCAACTGCCTCTCCTCATTAAACCGATGCCGCAACAAGCGATCTGCAAGCGGCGTCTAGAAGTGCTCGAGGGGCTCATGCTCCGGCTGGCGATGGTTCATCCTGCTCCCTGAAACTCTCCGCACCAATGGACGAGGCAGATCGGGAAGAGAAGGAGGATGAAGAAGGAGAGGGTGATCTCACAGGAGCGGGGGTCCGTAGGGGACCTAGCGATGGCTGGAAGGGCCGGAGCGAGGCAGCGTGCTGTGTCAGCGGTCGGGCCTGGGAGTTGTGACGGGGAATCAGCTTCACGGAGTGCTGTCCCTGTGCGCCAACTTCCGTGACCTCGTAAATGCCTGTGTAGCGCGGGTGGATCTTGGAGGAACGCGCAGATTTTCGTACCTGCACCAAGTCCCCAACTTTATAGCGGGACAGTGGTCCCGCCGACGTGTGTCGATTCTCGTAGTCACGGATCTGCCGTTGATGTGTCCGATCTACGGCCTGCTGTCGACGGTGAGCTAACGGGGGATAGGCCCTAGCCATTA